TCTCTACAAGTTAAACACATTATTACGTTATTAAATAATACGTTTTGTTTGGTAACAACAAGTAATTTCATCTTCTGCTGAATACATTTGCAGGTTGGCTTATTCACCCTTTCAGAATAATCCCTTATCTCCTTTTTCATTTCTGCTATGGTGCCATAATCCTGATATTTTTTTTAATGAAAAACTCCTTTAAGATGTTCATTGCAGCCAGTATAGTGTCTGTTTTCACGACCTTTCATACTACTGCTTTACACACTGAGCTTTGTCACCTCGACTGTTTTATTGTTTTCCTTTTTTTCCATACTCTTGCAAGGTTGGCATCCCAGTATACTATTATTGTGATACTTCAAATAATACTCAGAAGAGCAATGCAAAAAATGTCTTACACAGTGGATGCCCTAATTTTAAGTCATAATTGATTCAGTTCAATTCAGTTCCATTTTGTTTGTTTATATAGAGGCAAATCACAACAACAGTTGCCTTGCAGAATTTTATATTGTAAGGTAAAGACGCTACAATAATACAAAGAAAACAGAGAAAACCCCAACAATCATATGACCTCCTTTGTGCAAGCTCTTTGGCAAGAGTGGGAAGGAAGAATTCCCTTTTAACAGGAAGAAACCAGGCTCAGGGAGGGGCGGCCATCTGCCACAACCAGTTGGGGACCTATGGGCCTATGTTGTTTATTTTCTTTGAATGGAACTGACCCAGAGCCAGCTTTTGTTTGTTTGTTCATACACTTCCTTCCAAATTTAGTTTGGAAAATGTACTTGGCATAATAAAGGTTCAGTGGCCATTTGATGAAGAGTTTGATTTGGGTCACTACAGTAATGCTATAAATATGCACATGTAAAACCTGAAAACCCTGGATCAAATTATCTGTGATTTTAATGTATATAATTTTTTTTCTTATTCAGACTGATTCGGTGCAATTTGTCAAGGACCAGCTGTTCTTCCCTGGCTAAAGCTCTGAATGCAATCCACTCCTATCTGAAGCTTCTGGACGGGAGTGAAGCACCTATGTGGTTTTCTCAAGTGTCCACAATGCAGACTGGAGACTCTGAGGTTAGACACCATGTTTTAGTTGTACACTAGGATGAATATGATATGAAGTCTTAGCTCTGAAGTCCAACACCTCCCATCTGAAACATCTGGACATGGGTGACAACAAGCTGTAGGATTCAGGAGTGAAACAGCTTGCTAGCCTTGTGGAGAGTTCACACTGTAGGCTTGAAACTCCGAGGTCAGTTTACTTTTTTATCTGTTGCATCCATTATCCTTATGTAAGGACATCTGGATTAAGTGGATAGAAGCTGATAAGATAACAGTCCATAATTACAGAAAGCTAGAAAAAAAAAAGCTTGTTGGTTAGGAATAATTATTCTTGAGCTGCACATTTAGAACCTGAACACATCTGGTTGGATTATCAATTATTTTATCTCCACATTTTATTCTTTACTCAGATTAAGGGGCTGTGAATTGTCAGAAACCAGTTGTTCTT